GCGATTTGAAGTTATAATAATTTTAGCAGGCGCAAAGTTTGTTTACTCTGTTTTATTAACGAAATATATAAAATAAAAGTGAATAAATGGTTTGGTTTGCATGAAATAATGGGTGGGGTTTAGTACCGCTCACAACTATTTCGGGCTATTCCGTCCAAATGGGTGGCCCGATCCAAAAAAAAATTTCACACTTGTAGTCAAGGGTCCACGCAATCTTTTAATACTCACTTTTGTAAATTTTGGTTACTAATTTATTTACAAATTGGGTTTGAAATATGCCCTTTTTTGTAAAATTCGGAAATTAGCGTACATTTATCACTCCTATTTTGCTTAAATTAGCCACTTCACCAATATATTTTTGTATTCCCCTTCACTTTACACTTTACTTGATTTGTTATAACTTGCTTTACGACTTTAATATTAACCAATTCATCACAATTCATTAAATAAAAACACCTTCAAAATCACGCGTCTGACTTTGGTTGCATATGCAAATTAAATGGCGGAGTTCAGCTGTCAAACTCCAAAATATGCAAAAGAATGAGAGACAAAAGAAGATAGGATATAACCCAGTAAGCATTAAAAATATACAAAGGTGTTCTCTGCAAAAGGTGGTCAGCTCCTTTTCTTCGCAAAACAGAAAGGAGAATTCTACTGCCTGAGGGTTATAATCCCTAAGTGCGGCCGAGGGCCGCTTACGTAGAAAGGAATTCTACGCAAAAATACATTTGTTAAAAAGAACATTTTTTTTTATAAAAACTTTTTTTTTCTATTTTTAATTAACTTTTTATTGTTTATTCAAAATCCCCCCATATCTAATTTGGCATAATTTCTTTTATTAAAAAATCCCACGGTTTCTGTTAGTTGGGTCATATTCCACTTCAAACTGCTCAGTTTGTCTAAGAAAAATCCGTTTTTCCCCCTTTTTCAAACGGTTCCCTAGGTGCCTGTGGGAGGAGTCCAAGGGGGGGTTCCCCTTTTTAGAAAGCGGCGACTGTCTCCTTTCTATTGGGGGGGTTTTGGGGGCCCGCCCCCCTCCCCTCCGCCCCCTACCCAAAAAACGGTGTGAGTGGTACTAAACATTTCCCGAAATAATAACCGGAAACGTTTTAGTAGTGTTTTAAAAGTGGAAACTGGTGATTTAGTGCATTTTTGACGTGGTAATTGGTCATAGAAAACAACGAAATTTAACAGTTTTTTGTTCATAACTTTTAAATGGTTAATAATATTATCTGCCCCCTCCGGATTGTTATTAGGGGGGCCGAAACGCGTCGTTTGTTACCCCTCCCGAATTTTCCGCACCTTTTTTAGGGGTTGTTACCCATCCCTAGAGAATTACCGAAAAAGGGCTTTTTATTAAATCAGGGGTCCTATTCTACCCCCCTCATCACCTTCTTTCCTAGAATTTGCCGTTCGCATACTAAAATTTTCCCGGTTTCTACACTTATACCTAAAATACTCCACCTAAAACTTTCATTTTCGTTGCGATTTACACTAACGTTTTCTCCGTCTAGAATTCCAGACCCAGGAACACGACAAAATTTACCGATAAAAACTATTTTGCGAAATGTCAATCGCATATACAAACAATTAAACTTGACGATCCCAGGCTACCTTAAAACTTTCTATATTGAATTAACATTGAATTTCACAGACAACAAAAATGAAACGATAAGAGTAAATACAAGTACATACTCGATACTTTTCGTTTGTACCAAGTAATTTTGGTATCGATACTTTAATACCCAGTACTCAGTAGGTATCGGAAAACAAATAGTAGAATCGGGTACTTGTTCATTTCATGGTACCCATGATACTTCAATAATACAATTATTTACTACGTATTTGCGTAGGCTAATTCACGATTTCATCTCATTAATTTGGTTTAACATTGGTTGCATAAACACCATTTCATAAATTCAATTATACACGAAAGTTAACCACGAATTCGGCTTCATTTCATGAAATCGCGAAGTGCAATTCCCCCAATGCCACGATCCACAAACAGCTGTTTAATAGGGTTGTGATGTTTTTAGATCAGTGATGCACACCGGAGCCGTATGGGGTTGCTCGGCTTTCATCTAAAGATCGTGTGTGCGCAGCCACGGAACTTATGCAAAGTGTTGCCGTTTTGATCACTTTTAACCAATTTTGGTTATTTTTTTCTTGCCTGTGAAGTTGTTAAGATCTTTCCCATTGTGGTTATTTTTTAACATTTACTGTATACAAACAATAATTAAATCTTTGAAAACATTATAAACAAATACATTTATTCTGCTCAATATGCATGAACGAAAGACACAAGATCACGTAAGAAAAAGAGAGTGAAAAAAGACAATTTTTTTAGCGGGTTCTACGCCATCTTGTTTCACTGGAAAACGAGCGAAAAGTAAACAAAGCAAAGAAAACAACGAAAACCAAAATTAGCCAAAATTATTGTCAGCCACTTTAAACGCACAATTGAGGTAAAATGATGCAATAAAATGCTTTAAAATGTGTTGTCATGTTGAATTAACTCTTCTTTACTTAAATAAAAGTGTAAAATAGTGGTGCTTGTGATGTAAACAAACGCTCAGCTGACGAACTCGCTTCCGCAAACTTTTTTCTCAAAACCAGTTACGAATACAACGTCCCGTTCTTACGTGATCTTGTATTTTTGGCTCATGGCTTAGTATGGTTATTTAAATAAAGTTATTATTATTATTATAAGATTCGACTTATTCCGATAATTATCATGTGTTTACATATGCAAAAGAACATGTAAAAATTCGAGGATGCAACTATGGGTTCGAGTCTTTAATAAATCGTGGTGAATTAATCGCCAAGTTTTTGAAACGGCGCCATGATTCAATAATAAAAGGTTTGCTCAAAAAACAGCTTTCTCGCTCCCTCTTGGCAAAATCGGCTCCCTTAGCAAGGCACTGTGTGTGGATTCGTGTGTGTGTGCAAAGCTTTTGTAAGGGAGCTAAGGGAGTGTCACAACTCTAATGTCACTAATGAGCAAACCTTTAATTATTGAATCATGAAACGGCCCGGCAGTTACACCATCTCTATTTAGCATGATACAATAATTTTTAGAAGGTAGTTTCACTTCTTCTTCTTATCCGCCATGTTAGCTATCTGACAGAAAACGTGTTTCGTATTTTTTGTTGTACCAAATTTTTCAAAAAAAAATCCAAATAAATAATTTTCGAATATTTTTAAATATTTTTCTCCATAAAAAGTTAACTGCTGCTTTCGTGGATATTGCAACACACGGAATAGGTGTAAGGATGCAGCTATAAGAGCCACCGCATCCCACAGAGTTTATCGGCCGCCTATTTAAATAATAGGGCTCGCTTGAAATATGTACATGAAGATGTATGGAGGTGCGCACACTACACCAGCTTAATCGCTCCGAGAAATAAGTTGTGGTGCAATGGAAAGACTAGCGAGTCCATCTAAATCGGCGGCCGATAAAGTCCGTGGGGTGCGTTGGATCTAATCCATTATAAACAAGAAATATTGCCGTTATATTTTCATTTTTATGACTTTTATTCATGTGATTAGCAGTGGCAAAAATTTATGTATTAAATACGTATATTTATATTAAAAATTAAGTGATCAGTTATGAAACATATACATCTTTACATGTTCTGTTAAAAAATATCTAAAATAACAAGCGATAATCCCCAAGTTCTATATCGTAGCAGTGGCCACATTGCGTGTTTGTCACAGACACGGTTTATGTAAAAAATTTTGAAGTGAAACTACCTTCTAGAAATTATTGTATCATGCTATGTAGTATGTACCTGAAACGACATTTGAATAATACGAGAGTCATTAAAAAGCTGCGAAAAATTATTAGAATTCCGCGCAAAATAGGTGTTTCAAGTTAATGTATTCAGGCTCATTGCTATGGATAAGTGAGCAAAAAATACACAATTTTGGTTTTATTTTGCATAATATTTATTTCCAAAAAACTTTTAAATTAGGTTCGTTACACCTATCCAGCAGTGAAACCAAGTAAGAATATTTGGAATGAATATTAATATTACTTATAATTATTATACATGGCCGGCTAAAGACTACTTAAAATAAATACATACTTAGATAGTACATATATAAATACCTCGTATATGCGGAATCCAGTGAAATAAAAAAAGGGATTTGGTTATTATTTTTCCATTAATAAGAATCTTATAGCAAGTGGGTTCAAGGAAAATAAAATTCTATAGTTTTGAAAAAATCGGGTTTTTGCGCTCTTGTAAAATTTATTTACCATCGTATACGCGATACTGCGTTTGGCGTATTTCGCGCTGAGTGACGATATAGCTCAATACAGTCCAATTTTTAATTGTTTAACCTTTGTATTAAAATATATACAATGCGGTTGTTCACGATGATTAGGTATTTCATTGATTCTTACAAAAAAGTTGGAAACTGTGTACCTATGTTCTTATTTCAAAACGTAATTTAGAGTCTGGTAATGTTTAAGAAGATATTAACATACATACATATGCACCTAATACGGGAAGACTGATTTTGATATATATATATATATATATATATATATATATATATATATATATATATATATATNTATATATATATATATATATATATATATATATATATATATATATATATATATATATATATATATATATATATATATATATATATATATATATGAATGTATTTCATTTATTTTCAAGCCTTAAAACGATTTACTTTTCAAAAATGCAAATAAAAATTGATTTACTTTGGGTTGTAAAATTTTTCTATACGCGCTATATAAAAGAATTTGTGATGACCTGAATTGGTAATCTAATTAAAAAAATTGGTTATTTTTCCTTACATTTGGTAACTTTTTCGTCTAATGTTGGTTAGAAAGTTCTTTGAGCGGCGGCAGCACTGCTTATGCATCGCTAGCAGCCGGTCAGTTTGCGTTTTTACGTTTTGCTGTAAGCACAGTATACCAGTAGAAAATGTTTTTGTTTTTGTAGCTGTTTCGTGGTGAAAGTCCTTTATGGGGACCAAATTTCCCCACAAGAAATTGAGCGCATGGTTGCTTTTGCGTCCCAAAAGAATGAATATTAGAAAACATTTAAAAAAGTCTATGGAAATAAATTTATATACAACTAAAAATAATCACAATAATTTGCACTTATGATTTAAGGCCTGTATGCAGCTCTCAAGAAAAGCAAAAACTCCATATAAAATGACGTACAAGAAATGGCTAAGAAATTTTCTTGAGTCAAATTTCCTTAAGGCAGTACGCAGTTCTTAAGAAATTTACTACGCTTTCTACTACGGTTTTCTAAAGTTTTTTGTGAAAAAAGAGCACAAGGCAACCCAGGTTTGCAACAGAAATATATGCCCGTTCCATTATTTCTTGAGGAAATATTGAGGCAACAGGCTGTGAGGTATCAAAAATGTCAAAATTCCATGGACACACACGCGAAATAATGGCAATTTTTTCTTGACCGTTTTCTTGACAGCTGCATACGGGGCTTAAGGCAGTACGCAGTTCTTAAGAAATTTACTACGCTTTCTACTACGGTTTTCTAAAGTTTTTTGTGAAAAAAGAGCACAAGGCAACCCAGGTTTGCAACAGAAATATATGCCCGTTCCATTATTTCTTGAGGAAATATTGAGGCAACAGGCTGTGAGGTATCAAAAATGTCAAAATTCCATGGACACACACGCGAAATAATGGCAATTTTTTCTTGAGCATTTTCTTGAGAGCTGCATACATGGCTTTAATGTGATAATCATATGTAAAAACTCTTTTCAATTATTATTTTTCACAAAATAATTTTGCGGATCTGTTTGCTCTGAGCGCTTGTGTTGTTTACCAAGAAAATGCAGCCCTGTTGGTTTTTATTTCTGTATCGCATCGCGGTGAGTTTCTATTTCTTGGTAATTCGGTTTGTGAAATGGTAAACAAATTATTGGAATTTATTTATTTGATGTGTATAAGATTTCACTAATGCAATTTGTTTGTATTTTCAGACTATTAATTACAAGCACAGCATCATCAACGGTGATTGCAAGAACTACTGCAATCCCTGCGGTTTTTCCTCTGCGTGCGTTCTGGTCGTGACCAAGGGTAGTCTCCCAAATCGGCCGAGAATAAGGTTAGTCATTTTAAATTTTATATCTTTGTTCGTCGACATTATATGACATGTCATCATTGCAGGCTATTGTTGCAGAACAAAACGCCGCAACCACTGCTGTGGTAAATATGTTCCAACAGAACGGCCCATNTTTTTTGTATTTTCAGACTATTAATTACAAGCACAGCATCATCAACGGTGATTGCAAGAACTACTGCAATCCCTGCGGTTTTTCCTCTTGGTAAATGCGTTCTGGTCGTGACCAAGGGGGGGTCTCCCAAATCGGCCGGGAATAAGATTAGTCATTTTAAATTTTATATCTTTGTTCGTCGACATTATATGACATGTCATCATTGCAGGCTATTGTTGCAGAACAAAACGCCGCAACCACTGCTGTGGTAAATATGTTCCAACAGAACGGCCCATCGCCGTCGGTGTAATGATTTCGATAGCTGAACAAACGCCATCTCCTGGGCATTCCCTCAGCTTGCCGACACTAGCTATTATATCACGTGTGAATGCAACTGCGGCTTACTTTGGTTATTAACTGTGCAATAGTACCATGTCATTGGCAAAAACACTAATGCTATGTCTCC